AGTTTATATCGTTTTAAACTTTTTGAGGAACCTTTGACCAAAAATTAGTTCAAAAGGTCAGATAAGGACTTTTTCATGGCTTAGGAAGCATCTATTGGAGCCAATGAGTATTTATGGAAAGTTCAAGATCAAGTACTTTTGGGCCAGAAACATGTTCAGTTGGTAAAATATTTTTCTTGCTGAAATGACATCATGAGAAGTAAATCTCCAACCAACCAGAACACCCTAGCAACCACCAAGCAACAGCCTAGCAACCACCCAGAACACATTCTCAACCACCCAGAATACCCTAGCAACCGCATAGCAACACCATAGCAACCACCCAGAATACCCTAAAAAAACACCTAGCAACCACCCAGAACACCGTAGCAACCTCCCAGTACACCCTAGCAACCGCGTGCTGAGATTTACCGCTTCAAGCTCCACTTCACATTTTCTTCTGGAAATGTGCCATAAATGGGTTCCTGGAGGTCAAAATTGACCTATGTATATCTAATATAATATCAGGAGGAGTCTAAAAGTTTATATTGTTTAAAACCTTTTGAGGATCCTTTGACCAGAAATGAGTTCAATATGTCAGCTCCAACCAACCAGAACACCCTAACAACCACCAAGCAACAGCCTAGCAACCACCAAGAACACCCTAGAAACAAACCAGAACACCCCTGCAACCATCTGGCAACACCCTAGCAACCACCCAGAACACCCCAGCAAACACCTAGAAACACCCTAGCAACCACCCAGAACACCACCCAGAATACCCTAGCAACCCCATAGCAACACCATAGCAACCACCCAGAATACTCTAAAAAAAACACCTCGCAACCACCCAGAACACAACCTCCCAGAACACCCTAGAAACCGGGTGCTGAGATTTGCCGCTTCAAGCTCCACTTCACATTTTCTTCTGGAAATGTGCCATAAATGGGTACTTGGAGGTCAAAATTGACCTATGTATATCTAATATAACATCAGAAGGAGTCTAAAAGTTTATATTGTTTTAAACTTTTTGAGGAACCTTTGACCCGAAATTAGTTCAATATGTCAGATATGTTCTTCTCTATGGCTTAGGAAGCATCTGTTGGAGTCTATGAGTATGAATGGAAAGTACAAGGTCAAGTACTTTTGGGCCAGAAATATGTTCAGTAGGTCAAATATCTTTCTGGCTGAAATGACATCAAGAGAAGCAAAGCTCTCGGTTTATTAACCCAAATATCAAATACCCGTGGACCATAAATGTGTTTCTGGAGGTCAAAAATTGACCTATGTATAGCTAATGTAACATCAGCAGTCTATATGTTTATATTGTGTTAAACCTTTTGAGGAATCTTTGACCAGAAATGAGTTCAATAGGTCAGATATGGACTTCTCTAAGGCTTATCTGTTGGAGTCTATGAGTGTGTTTGGAAAGTTCAAGATCAAGTACTTTTGGGCTAGAAACATGTTCAGTAGGTCAAATATTTGTCTGGCTGAAATGACATCATGAGATATAAATCTCTCGGTATATTAACCCACAGATCAAGTACCCGTGGGCCATAAAAGTGTTCATGGAGGTCAAAAATTGACCTATGAGTATTTATGGAAAGTTCAATATCAAGTACTTTTGGGCCAGAAACATGTTCAGTAGGTAAAATAGTTTTCTTGCTGAAATGACATCATGAGAAGTAAATCTCCAACCAACCAGAACACCCTAGCAACCACCAAGACACAGCCTAGCAACCACCCAGAACAACCTAGAAACAAATCAGAACACCCCAGCAACCATCTGGCAACCCCCTAGCAACCACCCAGAACACCCCAGCAACCGCCTAGCAACACCCTAGCAACCACCCAGAACACCTTCGCAACCACCCAGAATACCCTAGCAACTGCATAGCAAAACCATCGCAAACAACCAGAATACCCTAAAAAAAACACCTAGCAACCACCCAGAACACAGTAGCAACCTCCCAGAACACCCTAGCAACCGGGTGCTGAGATTTGCCGCTTCAAGCTCCACTTAACATTTTCTTCTGGAAATGTGCCATAAATGTGTTCCTGGACATCAAAATTGAACTCTGTATATCTAATATAACATCAGAAGGAGTCTAAAAGTTTATATAGGCCAATTATATGCTTGTAAACATTCGGGATGCGCGCGCAGCTTGGTTGCAGAAGCGAGAGCGCGGGAGAGGTGTTAGCTAGCAAAATAATACATTACGTTATCGTTACGTAGTTAGATATCAACATTACATTTTATATTGATTAGATTGTACATATTTAAAATGTTCTCCGCGTATTACAACAGCTTGTCACCCAGCGATAAGAGCTGTTATTCAACTAAGCTTACCTTAATGAGTGGGATACGTCTTACAGATCCGTTTGCCATAGAGCCTTGTCAATGGTCAAACGACGAAACGAAATGGCCAAGCATTCAGTGGCCAGAAATATATAATTACCTGATCGACACTCCAAGTGTTTATACCCAGGAGAAGTTAAAAGCGTACAAATCTCTTGATGCCTATAATTTTGTTCTGTGTGGTCATGTCCAAGACATACAACTTCATGATTACAAAGTTCAAAACTTCGTTGTGCTTAAGACGGAGGTTCTGCCTAGTCAAAGACAGGGTAAGAAGACGGAGTTGTACAAGGCCTGGGTTATCGTCAACAAGACCAACAACTGTATTCTGACTGCAAACTGCACCTGTATGGCTGGGTATGTAACATAAGACATTTATGAAATTATATTACTTTTTTGTTTTTATTTATCCAACCCAGTATTTGTCAGTAAGATAATCTAACTCCATTTCACTGCTTATTGCTAAAATCATACAGCTGCTATTGACATGTATAGCCTAATGCACCACTTACAACAATGTGTTTCATTCATTGGAGAGCTAGGAATAAACCATTTTGTGCAGGTTAGGGTCATGCTGCAGCCATGCAGCTGCCCTTATGTTTAAAGTTGAGCTGTGGGTCAGGATGGGAAAGACGGAGAAATGTTGTACTTCAGGGACAAATATGTGGCTCCACTCATCCAAGAGAGAGGTGAAGCCAGCCAGACTGAGTGAGATCAGCTTCAGAAAGCCTAAGAGAACAGACACCCAACTGCAGCCAACCAGAGCAAAGCATAGAAAGAACAATGTGAAAGGTAGACACAATCTGAATTTAGACAAGATCAGGCCATGTACATATAGCAAGTTAACAGCAGGTATAAATTATATATTTATAACCTTAGATATATATATTTTTTAAGCAAGGTTCACATTCAGTGTGTGAACCTTGAGCCATTACCATCACATCATTCATATAAAAATGTTATAACCAGCACCAAGGTACCATTTATAACATATGTAACCAGCTGTAGTTGCAATTTGCATTAAAATAAGTTATTTAACTTATATTTTATTGTGTATTTAGAGCTGACAGATTTAGACATACCATAATATATTTATAACCTTATATTTATAATTTTTTATTAAGCCATTACTATCACGTCATTCATATAAAAATTTTATAACCAGGACCAAGGTACCATTTATAACATATGTAACCAGCTGTAGTTGCAATTTGTATTAAAATAAGTTGTGTAACTTATATTTTATTGTGTATTTAGAGCTGACAGATGAAGACATAGCAGATCTGAAAGTCTTTGCACCTAACGCGGCTGTGCTTACTAGCATGGACTTCAGTGACACTGATTCTGCATCCGAATCCGACACAGAGACTGGAGACCTGCCAGAGCCGCTGGTAGCTCTGTATGATGTCACTCTAACAGGCCTCTGCCCAAATAAAATACTAGAGAGAAGTGAAGATACCTTTGCAAAACTGGGGCGAGAATTAACTAGCGAGCAGTGTGTGAACCTTGAGTTTACAACTAGAAACCAGTCCCAGTCTCAGGCTTGGCACACACACAGGACTGGCAGGATAACAAGCACAACCCTACATCGTGTCTGCACTGTAGAAACCGAAAAGGCAAAAACAAACCTTGTAAAACAGGTTATGCACTACAGCAATCAGGACTTGTCCCATGTCCCAGCAGTACTTTGGGGAAGAGATATGGAGGACACTGCCAGGAGACAATACACAGAAATAATGAAAACACAACATCACAACTTTGACGTGGAACTCTGTGGTCTAGTTGTGAGGCCTGACAAACCACATCTTGGGGCATCGCCGGATGGAATGGCACACTGTACATGCTGTGGGAAAGCAGCTGTAGAGATTAAGTGTCCATACAAATACCGTGATGGTCTGATGGGGAGCAGTGAGGACACACAGTTCTGCTTAGATAAAGCACTACATCTAAAGAGGAATCATGAATACTATCATCAAGTTCAACTTCACATGTATGTATGCAACATCCAGTACTGTGACTTCGTAGTGTGGACAAAGCAAGATGTCACTATCAATCGCATCAACAGAGATGAAGAAATGCTTCAAGCAGTCCTGCCGAAAGCTGAAGTGTTCTTCAAACAGTGTGTTTTGCCTGAGCTGTTAACGCGCCGCATGGATCCACTGATGCAAGCACCTACAGTCTGCCCACACTGTGAAAGACCAGACTTTGGGATGATGATTGACTGTGCAAAGTGCAAGAACCATTTCCACTACACATGCGCCAGAGTAAGGAGAAAGGTTGTGGAGTGGTACTGTGAACAGTGCAAAAATTAATGAGTCAGAATGAAGTGTAAATAGAAGCAAATTATTTAATACACACTAGTATTTTACATCGAAGCACAATCAAAAAAAAAAAAAGTACAGCAATAATTATTATCAATTTAACCAATTATAAATTCATTAATAAAATTTATACAGAAAATCTGATTAGCTGTATTAATTGTTTCTTCTATTTTATTTATGTTTTGAGTCTGCCCTTTTTTTTACTTGGCACGGCTGCTATCACTGTCATAGTTTGGTTTTGTACTGTTTTCTCTGACATTTTCATTTGAACTATGTTAATATGTTTGTTTTTTTTTTTTAAATTAACTACATTTTTGTTGTTATTGTTAAAATTAATATATATACAGTATATACACATATTATACACATATATACATATGTATATTATTACTCATAGTCTATTAATGTAATTTACTTAATTGTTCACTGATCCTTCTCTGTTCTGTTGCAGTCACCACCACCTAAAAAAATAATAATTAAAAAAAAAACGTTAACCGCTTCAAGTTATCTTCTTGGGACTATGCATTTACAGAGGTTTGTTAATGCTCCACACACAATCACCATGTCATCTAAGAGGTCAACCTGTGTGAGTGGAATAACAGTTGTCAGAATTTTGAAGTTTTTCCATCTACCAATTACTCTTTCAATGTGTATTCTCACATTAGACAAACGCCTTGATGTGTCCACTTCTTGAGCAGAGAGCTGCTTCTTTCCTTTGGTAAAGTGAGGGATCCTAAGGGTGGCACCGCGTGTAGCAAGCTCATCTCTGATGGTGAAACCGCGATCTGCTAGAATCTCATCATTATGCTCTAGAAGGTCATAAAATCCAGACTCTGCTGTAATTTGTTTATCGGAAACACGCCCGCCCCAACCTGCCGACAGAAAAGTAATGGCTCCTGCAGGTGACATGCCAACTAAATATTTTACAGTGTTGTGGCTTTTATAAGTTGAGTACGTCTGGGCTCTGGAGGTTAAATTTGTGGGTCTGTTTATAAAAATTTCTGTGCAGTCAATGATGCACCTGCAACGTTTATATTTAGGTTTAAAACATTTTGGCATATTCTTTAATATTGCTTGCTTGCTTGGCCACTTAATGAGAGGTTTTAAAGTCGCAGACATGACAGGGAGCCAACTTCTCAAAATTTTCGACACGTCACATTCTGTTACATTAAATCTGAAAGCAATATCCTTGTTGCTGAGTCCTAATCTTAGTTTCATTAGGGTAACTAATAGATGGTCCTCTAGGCTCATAGAGCCACGCACAACCTCTACACTGCCTTTAAGTTTCTGAATCAACCACTCAAAAATGACACTGGTCAGACCTGTGAAAAACAGAACATGCACCGCTTTGCTCTTGATAGAGCTAAAGGAAAACTGTGTTTTTCTGAGTGTTTCCTTTAGTTCCTCCTTCTCTGATTTCAGTTTGTTGATCTCTGAACGCAGGTTGACACACTCTGCAGAAAGTTGGCTGTACTTGAGTTTCAGCTCATCATGGAGAACCTTAGGGACTGTGGCTTCTGAAATAGATAGAGTAGATTGTTGTTGACTTCTAAAAGATGCACAGTAACTTGTTTTAGCTTCTATTTTCTCTATTATTTGATGTATGTTTTAAGAGAGCATGTGCTCTCTTAAAAAAAATTAGAAACAGGGTGACATGATTCATCATAATAGTGACTGCCCTACATTAGTTAAAATTTTAGAAGTTCTTACCTGTGAAAGGACCAGAACCAGGCTCCATTCTGCAGTCATCTGAGGACAGGCAAGCGGCTGAGGATTCTGATGCAACCTCATCTGTAACTTCTGTGGACAGGTGGACGTGATCTGGGGGTCTGTGTGTGGTTTCCTCTCTTGTTCTTTTCCTCTTAAATCTGATACTCAGAGAAGAGAGCAAGCAGTCAGGCCAAAATAGTTTAGTTGCTTGGTAGATCACAGAGGCTATCAGTTCCCCAAATGAAGTCAAGTGTAAATCACATAGCATCCCTCAAAGGACTTAACAGAAACGATCTAGTCCAAGAAATCCTCTTGACAAAAATAATGTGACATAAAATTACTGGCCATAAATTCCATGCTATTCAATGCATGCAGAGAATGGATGGTGAGTAATGATGTGATCCGAGCGAGCAACTAAATGAGGTGAAAGTGACAATATTTACCTCTCAAGTTTTGCGTCGCCTTTGTTTATTTGACACTGGGTTGAGTAGGAAAAAACAGACGGGACAAAGTCAGGACTACTGGAGTCCATGGACACCTCTCCTGTACAAAAAGTTAGGTCTGTTAGTGTTACAGTAGTTAAATTTAGTCTGAGTTCGCTATAACCGCGTTATTAGCCAAATACTAGGTAACGTTACACTTGCTACTAGACTAGCTAGCTAACTGTCAGGTTAACTACCAAGCAAAACAAGGTAAGTTAACGCAACTGAACAAAGGTCGTTCGTTATTCTATTGTTAGATAAGTGTACTTAATACATCAGAGTTTTTGTTGTAAACTTAATAGAGTGATGTGGGTGATTTAGCGCAACTTCACTTACCTGATATGAAGTGAGAACTGCAGAGTCGGGCATTTTTAATTAGGTTGTCGTTCCAGTCGATTCTTCTGATGGCTTGTAACCAAAGACGTCTGCGGTTGGCGTTAAAAGGAGTGTGAGTTGATGGTATTCGGTAAAACTTCAGATCTTTATTTACAGACTTTCGATTCTGGCAACCCACTGCACAACACGACATTTTTCCGGGCTTGTTTCAGCGGCTAGCTTGAAGCTTCTGCAACCGACATGCGCAGTTGCAGCTGCGTGACGTCAGTGTGACGTAGGGTGATAATTCCCCTATTGTTTTAAACTGTTTGAGGAACCTTTGACCAGAAATGAGTTCAATATGTCAAATATTGACTTCTCTATATATGGCTTAGGAAACATCTGTTGGAGTCTTTGAGTATGAATGGAAAGTACAAGGTCAAGTACTTTTGGGCCAGAAATATGTTCAGTAGGTCAAATATCTTTCTGGCTGAAATGACATCATGAGAAGTAAAGCTCTCGGTATATTAACCCAAACATCAAATACCCGTGGGCCATAAATGTGTTTCTGGAGGTCAAAAATTGAACTATGTATAGCTAATGTAAAATCAGGAGTCTATAAGTTTATATTGTTTAAAACCTTTTGAGGAACCTTTGACCAGAAATGAGTTCAATAGGTCAGATATGTACTTCTCCTATGATTTAGGAAGCATCTGTTGGAGTCTATGAGGACGTATGGAAAGTTCAAGATCAAGCACTTTTGGGCCAGAAACAGGTTCAGTAGGTCAAATATTTGTCTGGCTGAAATGACATCATGAGAAGTAAATCTCTCGTATATACTCACAGACCAGGGACCCGTGGGCCATAAAAGTGTTCCTGGATGTCAAAAATTGACCTATGTAATATAACATCAGAAGGAGTCTATAAGTTTATATCGTTTTAAACTTTTTGAGGAACCTTCATTCATTCAGTTTTTCAACGAAAACACATCTAACGTCTAACGTTGTGCATTAAACATGTTTCTCTGTGCCAGAGATAGAAAACACCTAATATGTTTCATTGGATTGCATAACAATCTAACTTGTTCTTCGTTGCAATGAAAAGGCATAACGTGATGTTTTCTCATCTGTGCACAAACAATCTAGTTTGTAAAATAGAAATGCATGCGAAAGCACATGCATACATTTTCTTTTCATTGCAAAGAGGAACAAGTTCGATATTTTATGCATTGCAATAAAACAACACCCGTTGCTTTGTGCAATGAAGAGATGTGGATTGTGCATGAAGAACGTTTTGCATCAAAAATAACATATATGCAATATGCACTTTATTGCATTCAAGAACTAAACCCTTCATTGGTGCTTTGACTGGAAAACGAGTGTTGTTTCATTGCAATGCTTACATTTTCTAACTTATTCTTCTTTGCAATGAAAACAAAAGATAAAACACGCGTGCTTTTCCATGCATTTCCATTCTACAACTAATTAATTTGTGTTTTGAGGAGAAAACATCACAAGAGCGATCGCTTTACAATGCATACACTAACTTGTTCCTTTGTGCAACGTAAAGATTTGCAATGCTTGTGCTTTAGGATTGTATTGCAAATGCAAGCGTTAACTAACCTCTGTGCAATGAAAAGAAAACAACTAAGATGTGTTTCATTGCATTGCATGATAGATCTAACTTGTTTCTCGTTATGCATATGCACGCAAAAACTAACCTCTGTGCAGTGAAAAGAAAACACCTAAGATGTGTTTCATATGGAATGCCAAAGCTGACTTAATTAAAAATAAATATATACATAAATAAATATACGAAGAAATGTAAAAAAGCAAAAATACAAAAATAAATACATAATTAAATATACAAAGAAATGTAAAAAAGTACAAATAAATGAGTATTTATATTTTTATTTCCAAATTTATGTATAATTGTATTTTTTCACACATTTATTTATTTATTTATTTCTACATTTATTCATTTATTTATTTCCACTTTTATTTATTTCCACATTCATTTATGTATTTATGTTTTTATGTCTACATTTATTTATTTTCACATTTATTTATTTCTACATTTATTTATTTACACATTTAATTATTTCCACATTTATTTATTCCAACATTTCTTCCTCTGTATTCTAATGAGGGCGGCGTGTTTTAACGCAGACATCAGCAATCGACCTTAGAATGGCAGTGCTGAAGCTTTGAGGCCACAGTGACACCTTGTGGTGTGTGACCAAACGAAACGCAAGAGCTGTCCAGGCAATATCACATTTTAAGTCATGTGTATCACCCTAACTGTAGCCTAGGGTAGGCTAAATAGGGTTAACACACATGAACAGAAACTGCACTTCAACGGGTCTGATAGCAAATACTTGGACATGAAAGCGCGTGAAAGTATCCACTATTTATAACAATGTAAATGCGGTGGATAGGGCTGATAGCTTGCGTTTGGCTTGCATTTATTTTCGATGAGACTCGCGCACAAAACGCGACTCAAAACGCGGTTTACATTCGTTTCCTCATTTCGTATGCATAACTGCGTAAGGAAACGCGAATGTAAACCGCGTATTGAGTCGCGTTTTGTGTGCGAGATGCTGCTCTTAGACACTGATTAATCACAAGGCACCAATTTTGAATTATTCTTAAATTAAACAATGGGGCATGTAATCGAGTGAGCCTCGCATCCCACGCCATGCATTCTGTATTAAGATTTTGACTTTTAATGACTTATTGACTTTTGTTCATTTTATTTTACTGATAACAGTGCCTTATTATTATAATAACTGAGTAGTTTATCGATTAATATTAAGAACTTGACATATATGATGATGTAGCTATAAGCCTACCTATTTAATAAGGTTTGGGGAGATATAATATTAATTATATAGGGAAATATCACCAGGACCATGGGCATGACCGTTGCTGTTTGAATGGGCATATGATTCTTCTGTGCTCCATGGTGTGAGATGTAGCTCACTGCGTTTACATGAGCCCCTTTTGTTTGATTTAAGAATAATTCAAAATTGATGACTTTATCAGTAGATCAGTAGCTATCTAAGAGCAGCATCCATGTTATATGGGTTGCGTTTTAAACATTTGAATTGTCACCTGTTATGCATAGAAAAGGAAACGCCACTGTAAACCAGTCGCGTTTCAAACTGATCATATAGGAGTCAGTGAAATGTGCGCTGGTTTCTCTCCGCGTTCTGCGCTGGTGTGCAAGTCTTATCAACAATAAACGCAAGCTATCAGCTATCCACCACATGTTATTAATAGTGGATATACTTTCACGCACTTTCATGTCCATTGTCCAACTATCTGCTATCAGACCCGTTGAAGGGTCAGGGGATCTCTGGATAATCCGTAATTCGTTTGTAATTATAAAACGAAAATACCGTTTTTCTGTTTTTTGTTTCAAATAGAAAAACCAAATAACCGTTTTTGGTGTCAGAATCAAAAAACGAAAAACAAATTAAAAACTGCCCGATTTTCGTTTTTTGGCGATCATTTTATCGTTATTCATTTTTGAACAAAGAAAAACGGAAGTCACGTGGTCCATTCCTTATTTGGAAGCGAATGTAACCGGAAACACTTTCAAAATAAAAGTAACTACAGTTAGCGAGGTGATGGTAGACTAAAACTGAACTAATATAACATTTTTTAGTACAACTAAAGTAGCACTGGGTGTGAGTAAGACTTTAGTTAACTGAAATAAAAATTCAAACAAATAAAATAATAACTCTGGCTGTTAGGGAGAATTAAACATTTGTAAAACCATTGGTGAATAGGGCCTACAGCTATGTATGCTATGAGCAGGGCTCTGGATTGCAACTCTTTCACTAGCATATATGGCCTAAAATGTTTTACAAGCATAGTGGGTGAGTGAAGACTAAAACCTACTGTAAATGTTATATTATACTTTTATACATTTATAGTTCCTCCTCCAGGTTGTGGTTATTAGCCTCTGCAGTGGACAGATGTAGATTTAGCCAGAGCCAGGATGTCACTGTGCAAAAACACAATTTATAAAATATATATTTCATAAATCATATTTTTTTTAAATAAAAAACTGAACTTCACCTGCCTTCCAGCTCCCCTTTCTATCGCTATAATAGCATAGCTGCTAAAAACTCTCTTTATTTTTCCTTTGCATTTTTCTCCAGTGTAATATTATTATGTTAGTTAAGTAGATTAAATATTTTTAACCCTTGTGCATCAATTATATAGAGGACAAAAATGTCCGTGTCAAAAAACTGTCATAGAAATGTGAAGCTTGGAGCACAGACTTAAGTTGGTATCATTTTAAAGAAGACCCATGGCAGATTATTGCTGAAGTAAACTAAAGCTAAATTAAAATAATAAGTAGTAAATCCAAAAAAAAAAGTTATATAGGTATAAGTTTATGAAAATTATTATAAAAAAATATGATTTATAAAATATATATTTTATAAATTAGGTTGATCTCAAAAACTGCAAGAAAATCAAAGCCATGAATCTGAATAGGTTGTGTTCCAAATTTGAGTTGGATAGGCCTATCTCAAAAAAAATGAGCTTTCAGTAAGAGTTTGTTTGGGTGCAGTAACAGATTTCCCCCACTGGGTGCCAGCAAAACTCCACTGGTGCACACAGTGATTGGATTTTAGATTTGCAAATGAGTTTTTCTCTCTCAAATATAACAAGCACACAAACACATATACACACACAAAAAAATTTATTACACACATACAAACAAACCACACTCTGACATCCACCCACACAATTATCGTTAATAAGCAGAAAACAGGAATAAAGCAATATTTGTTTTATAGGCCAAACCTGGACAACTGGCACCATCTGATAAAAAAAATAGTAAAAATTAAACTTTTGGAGCCTTGCCAACTGAATAAAAGCCTCTTAACAAAGATTGCATAATTTTATAGTTAAATGACCCTGGGATTAAAAATTGCGGTTTCAATGGGAACATTTTTGTCCAAAGGGCGCAGATAGGGAGTATTTTGTGTACCTAATGCAAAATCATTATTATTTTTTTAAGAAAATGGCGGTGAAATAGTAAAATTCCATGAAAATACACACCTGTGCCAAAATAGCATTAACACAGGTAAAGTGATAAAAAAAACTGAAAAGGACAAAAATGTCCATAAGGATGCACAAGGGTTAATGCAGCTTGTTGTTCTCATTAGTTATGTAGACCTACTTGTGTGTGAAACCCAGCATTACTCGGTCAAAAATGAACTGGGACTTTCAGATCTTTTAGCAATTTTG